GAGAGAGAGAGAGAGAGAGAGAGAGAGAGAGAGAGATTCGAATGAAGAGAAATGAAATTCTTTTTCTTTAGAACTATACCCAATTTGTCTATTACTGTCTTCCTTAGAACAAAATGACTCGAAGTTTTAACAATGCCTTTGTCTAGACATCCTAGATGCTGATTACTATAGAACCACAGGGCACACAGTGGTGTGACTAACTCACATGACAATTCCTGGAAAAGCCTGCCCTGCACTGTCTTCTCTGGGTGTAAACACAATTGGCGCTGTATTTGCTTCTCAGAAGACAGGACTAAGCTAGATCCTGAGTGTTCACAGCAGTGTGAGAGCTCTGCCTCAGATGTGTGAGGGTAATGGAACCCACTGTACTGTCACTGAGTCCCTTACCAGGGCCTGGGAAGAAGGAGCTGGTGGGCTAGTTGAGCTGGGACAGAGCCAGGGCCCCTCATCTGCCACCACCCATCATTAGTTCTCTGGGGAGAGGTTGCAGGCACTCTCAGGCTGACACGTGTCCTCATAGTTGACTCTGGGAGCTGTGAGCCCTTTGTCATTTGGGGTCCATGGAGAAAAACAATCTAAACTTGTGTTCAACAGCCTTTAAATGATGGGCACAATGAGGTCCTCTGCCTAGGACTGATGGGACAAGTAGAGGCTCCCTTGCTGAGGAGTCTGCATACTTTAAAGGGCAACTTTATTTTCACTCACTTTAACTGCTATTTCTTATTTGCAATAAAATATTTCAATCCATCATACAACTTGAAAATAAATAGCTATACAAAATGATTACTGCAGAAAAGACCTGATAAAAATTAGAAAAATAACTATCCTGACCTCTCATGAAGTTTTGGTTATTAAACACAAACAGTCTATAACAGAGTATGTTGCTGGAGAAGTTTTTTAAATTACTGTGGAAAACACAATAACAAAACTGTTTGGGGACAAATCTGGATGGGGTCAATGAATTTAATTCAAAAACAACTTTTGATATGTATGCTTGTGGCATAAATGTGCATAAATGATTTTGCTGTAACTTTATGGCAGCCTGGAAATAACTGCTGCATGATTTTTCCCATTCCAAAACCCATGTACACTGTGATGCTGGGCAAAGCAGCGTGGGTACTAGAGATTATCGAGCACATACGGATGTATAACGGGACCACTGGCTGCAGTATCCTCTGATAATCCAGCTCATGCAAGAACATCAGGCCAAACAAAACAAAACAAAACAAAACAAAACAAAACAAAACAAAACAAAAAAACCCCCGAAAAACCATTGATGCCAAAGTGGCTCTCTGACTATGATTACTTGGTCTATTCTGCTGAGCTCCAACTTTACATGTAGGAAAGCAGAATCCCTATGTGGATACTGTCAAGATGAACTTGGCTAGTAGATTTTAATGCTGAGGAAACACCACTGTAGATCAGGCTTGAAGGCTAGTTTGGGTTCTCATCAATTAAAATCAAATTAAATAACCTCTCTGACTCTTCAGTTACTACTTTTATAATTCATCAACAAATGGGATCAATGCCAGTTGCACCAATTTCACTATATTCAATGCAAAGGGAACGCTGTGTAAAGTGGCATTTTCTTCCCTCAGATGCAAATCTGTACTTTGAGCACTGCTTCATGACCCAAAGATGTTTTCCATCAGTTCCTTGTAGTCCATACATATTACTCGGAGGTTACTATTCTCTTGGCTTTAAATATACATTAGTTATTGACTGTATTCATTAGGGATAATCCTGGCATGACAAACTTGTTTTTCCAGAACTAATGACTTTTATGTCAGGATGACAGGTATAATTAGGCAATAAATCCTCAATCAGTCTGGTTCAAATTGCTACAGGGAAGATGAGGTCTCTGCCATCCTTGTCAATTTATGTATAAAATATGTATGAGCACTATTTCTAAAGAGAGAAGGTGGCTAAAGAAATTTTATAATATATGTCACATGCACCTCTTTAAAATATTCTATCTTTCCAAGGAACCAGATTTCAAATGAGTGCCCTGCCCATGGGTATGGTAGCAAAAGTCACTGAATGCTAACTTGATGGTTTTTTTTTTTAAATAAAAAATGAACAGTATTTCCTAGTAAATAAAAATGATATGTCTATTTGTTAGAGGCAATGGCTTTGAACTTGGCAGGGGGCCACTCCTATGCCCATCCTGGATCAGCTTATTTCAGGGGACACCTGACATCTGAACCATAACACAAGGTATATCTTATTTCCAAAGAGCACTGGAGAAGAAATACATAGGCATCCACATATGCTGTGTGCTCTGGTGAGTAAGTAGGAAATTTGTTGGGCTGAGCAGGCAGATTTCCAGATGCTATAAATTGGATCTGACATAAATTGATTTTATACTAAGATAACCCAAGATCTACCATATAATTATTTTAATATATAGGCCAGTTTATTGGCGGTTCAAACAATCTCTCTTGAGAATCAAGAAATAAAAAGATTGAAATTACTCTTATTCCAAACAAAACAAAATACAAAACCCTATTGATTACTTATAATGATAGAAGCAAAAGTCCTTATTTAAAAGTTGTAAAAAAGAAGGGAGAAGTTCAAAATTTTTCCCCCATTAAACTTGATTTTTTGTATGTTTGAAGATTTGGCCTATATTTAAATTTTATCCATCTGTTGAAGAATCTCATTTTCTTTATGGAATCATTCTACTTACATAGAAATATCAAAATATTTATTTTCAAAAGATAACAGGTATATCAAGTTGTTAAGCCTGCTAACATCATGCAAATTTCAATCTTAACACACAAGATTGTAAGACAATAGCTGCCTTCCTTGGAGTACCTGCTACCACCCCAAACCATTTGCAACTGTTTTTTGACAAAAGTTTAGGTATGCTGGATGGCATATGCCTCAAGTCTCATTAAACTGAACTTTAAAAAGCTCCATGTTAGGTGTGTGTCCTTGGACTGTAGTTTGAATTTCCTAACCTGTAAAGTATTACCACTGCCTCCAAGGGTTGCTGGAAAAGCTCAGATGATGTTTGTAAAGTACCCAGACTACAATGTCCAACACAATTACTCTTATAGTCAATTATTTTGATTTCTATAGAATGTGTAAACTCTATTAGAGAATTTAATAACTTTATGAAGTCTTCCAAGGTACTGATGGCATTTATGAGGCAAATAATATTTTCAACAAGGTATAATGTGTACAAAGTACCAAATATAACCAGTAAATAGCATACTCCTTTCAATTCCAGCCTATCAAAGAGCCACCATCATCAGTTTCTTGTGTATTCTCCCAGAGAAAATTTTACGTCTATATTAGCAGAATTTAGGCAAGAAATGACAGCACACTGTACAGTGTTCTGTTACTGCTTCTTTCCCTTAACACAATAACGTGCAAATTGCTATCTCATTCATATGAGTGTGTGTTGTGTGTGTGTGTATTCTTATTAACACTCGTATTGGTGGCCATTAAAATTTAGAAAGAATTTTCATAAGCAATGTTGTAATAAATATTCAGGTATTCTTTGCATATAAATTAATATATCTATCCTGGGCTGGGGTTGTGGCTCAGTGGTAGAATACTTGCCTAGCATGTGTGAGGCACTGGGTTTGATTCCCAGCACCACATATAAGTAAATAAAGGTCAATCAACAACTAAATTAATACATCTATAGGATAAAGTCCTAGAAATAAAATTACTGAACCAAATTAAATGTGGTATGTGTACTTTTAATAGAAGACGCCGCACCGCACTACGAATGGGAGACACCATAACGACACAGATCACCGAAGAGGTTCCACTTTATTACAAAAGGCTGTGTGTTTATATAGGTCTAAGGAGAGGTCGCAAGGCTGAGGTAGATGACAGGTCGCCCGTTTATTGGCAAGCTCTTCTATATGTCAGTTCCCGAGCCCAAGAAGTTAATTCTAATTGGGGCTAAGGTTTCCCACCGCAGGATTTGAACACTGGCACCAGCGGGAACGTTTTGCGCCAGTGAAAGAAACAAAGAGGAGAAAGAGGGTCGTTAGGTGCCATGTTGGGGTTTTTCTCTGGGGTGCTGCTGCCGTTATGTGTTTTCCCAACAGTCATCAAAACAAGGAAGTTATTGTTACAGTCTTTACCTTCTGATACGCAAAAAACAATTCCACCGTGCTTTCAAAAAACATTTCTACTATTATTAATAAGGCTAACATGTTTTTAAGAATATTAAAAGTTATCTCTTTGTACTATGAACTATTTCTATCCTTTGCCCATTACTCTTTTGGCTTGTTGTCTTAGCAACAGGAGTTGCTGATCCTCCCACTCATTGTGTTTTCACATTAAGTACTTTTTTCCTATGCAGATTTTTAAGAATTCTATACAAAATTATCAGTCTCTTCTTTTATGATTTCTGGGTTTTTCCTTCATAACTGATAGGGTTTTCTCACTCTTACATTAAGCAATGAATTCTTCATTTCTCTTTAATATATTTAGGGT